CACTTAGTAAAAATTTAGCGAAACTAAAGGTTTTACCGTTTTGCCAAATTCAAAATGAGTTTAGACAAGCAACCTTAGTAGCAATATTAATATTATAAATGTTTGAAATCTGGTTGAATGAAGGTCAAAGGGCCATCCTAAATTTAAAAAAAATAAAAATTATTTAGAACAACCTAATATTAAAACTTAATATAAGTGTAAATTATGTAAGTAAAGAGAATATAACAGCAAGACTTGTAAAGAACAAAAATAATCAGATACTAATACTAATAAAGAGAACATTAATAATAAAAGTTAGGTTTTATTATTATTTAAATAGTCAGATTGGATTTGTGATAAAAAATCTTTTAACCATATTATAATACTTATTAATATAATTAGAAAGAATGATATTTGGTAAGCAATCAAATATATAATTAGTAATGATAGATTTAATATTATTCATTAGATTTTGAATAATTTCTGCTTGTATAATTTGCAGGTCAAATATAATAATATAGGGTAATCATATAGGTAATCCTTGTGTAATAATCAAAAAAGTCATATAACCAAAGGAATATTATAAAAAACTTATTGGATTCAAATTGGAATATTTTTTAAATTCTTAGTCTTTAAAATGATACTTAAGTTTTTATTCTAATGTTTTGTTTAATATTATTTTGCCATTTCAATAATTATAAATAATATATAATATAAGATTTATTGTCTAATCAGAAATAAGTATTTAGGTTATGTGATAAATCACATGATAGATATCATCATGATGACAGAGTCACCAAATATTATTATTTATATTTGTATTTGTCATTTATTTGTCTTTAAATATAATTTTAATAAATTAAATTTTTTAGCAAAACCAAATTTAATTCTTAATGTAAATAATTATTATTATTTGTAAGAATCTTGTATTTCAAGCATTACATCTATTAATCATATTTTACTTTCACATATGATAACTCTTTTATTTAATGTAAATAATACTCCTCTAATTCTATTATTTATATTAAATTTATCTACTATTTATAATCCAAAAAGTATTGATATCAAGTTGCTTAAACAGGCAATTAATTCACAATATATAGTTAATTTTGCAATTAATTACAATGCATGAAAATTTACTTGGTATTTAATAACTAATATTACAATATTAATGAATCTAATCTTATAAAAACTCTAGTTATACATTGTTATAATACAGATTTATCAGAAAAACATGTTTTGAAAATTTAATACAAAATATATTTTTTTTTGTTATAGATTTTATAGATTTAGATTTAATTTTTTTTGTCAATTTTTGACAATAAAATTTTGTATTTTTGTATTTTTTTATTTTTTTTTGTAAATAAAATAATTGCGATATTTTGGTGGTATTTTTTTTTGTTAATATTGAATGGTTTTACACTTCGGTCTATAAACCAAGTCTACGGTTCGATTTTACTCTCAGACCGCCGAAAATCGAACCGAAACCATCGAATCGAACTGTTATTGGTTGCGATTAGGCAAAGTCAGTCAGATCAGTTGACAGCTGCGCCACATCATCGGTCACAAAAAAATTATTAGTCATGTGATTTATAATTATTATAAATATTTAACGTTAAGCAAGTTCTATAAATTATATATATGATTCCAATACCAACTTTATTTCTTAACTAAAGTGTTCAAATTAATATTTTAAAAATAAAAAATAACGATATGAAAAAAAAGGGGTGTTTGAAAACATATGTTGATATGATAAATTTACTAATCAGAATCACTTATTAACTCCAACATTAAATAATCCGAACCTCCGTTTATCATTACGCGAATCGCGAAAATATCATTCTATTCTTGTTTTTTCTCTATTCAATTCTCTGTTCAAATCTTTATTATTCTCTGCAACTTTTATCAATTTTTGCAAAGATGAATAAAACATTGGAACACATATATAATATCCAATTCCCAAAATTAATGCCAACGTTAGAACTAATTTAAATGCTACGCGTGGAACTCCATAAGTTAAAGTCTCCAAAACTATAATATATAATTTAAAAAAATTCAGTATAAACTTTTTTCATGTTAAAAAGCAAGGACACGAGATTAAAAGATCAATATACCGATGTTATATATAATTGGACGAGATTCTCTCCCGGGAATGATTGACACTCCTTCATATATAGCTCTTACACGAAGCAATTTTTTTGTTGTAGTCAGAATTGGTTGAGAATTCTTAAAATAAAATTTTAATAAACAATAATCGATTAATTAATGGAAATCATTAAATATATAATATTATCCATATAATTATATTAATTCTTACCGACTGAGGAATTTCCAAATTTTTTCTTTTTTCAAATATATTTGCTGCTTCTTCAAAGCCCATTATTTCCAACACAAACGTTGTTGGCGACTTATTTATCAATACCTTGTCAATAACTTTTTCAATAGAGAATTACAATGTGAAATTATTTCAAATTAGCTCACCGTTGCTGCATATGATACTCTTGTTTCATAAGTTTTTCCTTCTTCTAAATCATCAAGAATGTACCATTTTTCCTTTTCTCCTGACTTGTCTTGAGAAAATTCGTCAACACTTTTGAAAGGTACTATCTGCTCATAACGCTTGATAGTGTATGGAGGAGTTAAAGTCTTTAAAAGGACATTTAAGAGAAAATATTACTTTCTTTTTATTTATTGAAATACAATCCTACGAGTCGATTTTATTTGCTAAATAACACACCAGTAAACTCCCCTGTTCACTCCATTCGGAAATTTCTTTGAAAAGGGATTCAGAAATCTTCACAGCATTAGAAGTAAAAACTTCCTTTTCAATGTTTGCCTTAATTGGTTTAATAAACCGAAGATATAATATTAAGAACGCAAATAAAGTGTTTTCGAAAAAAAATTTCATACTTCAAAAGTGTGTTATAAAGAAATTTATTTCCGCAGCGCGTTTAACTTTTATACCAATTTTGGAACTTTGCATTTAACAATTTAAAAAGATTTGCGTAACAATGGACTCAGTGGCTTAGCCAATGTTTAATTAAAAATTGCCCAATTCATATTATTTAAAAAAAATTTCTAATATTTTTTTTTTTCAAAATTCCTACTTTTGACAGGCGAATATGCTATCTCGACTCGTGCGAGAACATAATCAAAAACAACAAGTTGTGAGGCGTAATACTGGTATGTGCTTATCCTTTTATGACTTATCACGCCATATATTTTATTAAAGTTATTTGTTTTCACAAAGAACAACTTCGGAAAGAAGCTATACAGGCTGTAAATGAGGTGACCGATTCTTTATCTGATACTTTAAACGAAAGGTATACACATACTTATTGGGACAAATAGACCATGACTAAATAAGTGTTTGATATGTATAATAAAGATTATCAAGTTATTAAGCATGAAGGCTTCGTCTAATTTTCCTTGTTCTTTGTTGTTTATCTTTTTAGATTTATCCGAAATACATTCAATTAATAACATTTTTCCTTTCTTTTTTTTTCTTTTTTAAGAGTCTCAGCTGTATTTAAAACTCAACGTGAAATTGAGTCTGAAGCCAGGCGGTTATCCTCACAATCGGCCAAATATACAAAACAAACAAAACAATGGTTAAACATGTTGGAAGGATTTAATTCGGCTTTAAAGGTATATCTTGTATCACTTTAAAATATTTTATCTAAAAATAACGCAATCTTTTCCAAACAAAGGAATTGGGCGATGTTCAAAACTGGGCAGAAATAATCGAGAAAGATATGAGAGAAATCGCCATGACTATGGAATTTGTCCACAAAGGTTTGAAAAAAAAAAGAATTTTTTATTTTGGTGGCGTGATATTTCAAAGTAATTGAAGACAAAATTTTTTTTAGGAACAATTGAGAGTCAACTAGTAACTGCGTCAAGCATTGCGGAACTGGGAGGCGATGAGAGCTCTACCAATAACTAAATTTTTTCCAAGTGCTTTAAAAATAACACGTGAAAATATTATTTTTTTTTTGATTTAAACTTGAGCACGAGGAGGATTAAAGTAATATATACTATTGACAGGACATATTGCTCCATAATTGGCAAAGTCTAAAGAGTGAACTAACAAAAAAAAAATCACAACTTTCCACGATAAAATTTGTAATATTCCACAAGGAAAAAAGGCGTTGAGATATCGATCACGATCGGGATAGAAATGCAGTAAATAAATTAAAATTCTTGAATCCTAACCGAATAATTGTTTCAAAAAGGAGACATCAGTCTTTTAAATTTTAATCCTGAAGGTATTAACCTATTATGGAATCTAGGCTTGATTTATTATTCCTGTTGAAAACCTTAGGTGATGAGTGTTGAACAAAACTAAACTTGTAACCTATCATTTAATGTATTACTTTGACTTATTATCTATTGATCTATTGATCGATTATTTTTATACCCAAAAATTTTGTTTATTAAAAATTTTGTTAGGTGATAAGCCTCTTTGACATAATTGATATTTGCTACTGTGATGAATATTAATATTCCTTTGATATAATTGATATTTTCTACTGTGAATATGAATAGCCATACTAATTAATACAAGTTGTTTGTGGTTTTTGGGTTGATCAGTACATATATAGTTTATGGGAGTGAGTTGCGATATAATGATAAAATAGGAGTGAGCTTTACACCAAAAAAAAAAAAAAAAAAAAAGATTCTCGGAATTCTCGGATTAGACTTTTATTTTGATTTTTTTTTATATAAAAATACAATGAAAGGATCCAACTCTTTTTTTTTTTTTTTTTTTTTCCTTATCTCTTAAAAAAAATAAAAAAATAAACCTCTTTTAAATCCATTTTTTTCTTTCTTTTCAAAGAAAAAAAAATCTTTTAACTTTCGTCATAAATATTTATTGATATTTTTTTTTTTCAATAATACGCTTTTTTTTTATTTTTTTTTTTTGCGCGAAGTGTATCGAAAGCAAATATGGTTTTTCCAAAGATATTGAAGCCTAGATACTTGGCAGACATCTTCATCACCTTATTCTTGAAAATAGTATTAGCGATATTATTAAAAATACTATACTACATTAAAGGTGAAGAAGTTAGAGTAACAAAAGTTGAAGTTCCTAACAAGAAAACAAGTGAAGAAACCCTGGAAAAAAACACATCAAACGAGAGATCAATTAACCCAAATGAATTAATTAATGAGCGTAAAAAAGTCGACGAAGCAGAAGCGGATTCAGATTCAGATTCAGAATCAGAAGCAGAAACAGAATCTACTCTCTACACGGGTACTCTATCCGAATTGAAAGATGATGATGATGCTATTAAAAAGTTCTTTGTTGAACAAAAGGACGATGAAATAATTGATGATGATGAAAAATCAGAAGAATCTTCATCAGATTCGAGTAATGAATCATCCGAAGAAGAATTTGAAACCCATCACGAAATTTCTTGTCCCCCATTTGAAATAAGAACCTCACACAGTACTAATCGTATTGATAATTTGGATATTTTACCATTTGAGGTAACTTAATTTTTTGCAATAGCATATACTTTCATTTTCGAATATAAAATTAATTCATTTTGTATTATTATTATAGTTTAAATGGAAACATGGTGGAAACGACGTTATCATCACAGGAGATTTCGATATGTGGCAATGTAAATTTACATCACGTGACTATAATTTTAAAGCGAGAACCATAGGTTAAATAATATCTTTTTTTTTATTTTTATTTTAGGCACTCATAAAATGAAATACAATCCTTTATCCAATGATTTTGTTGCTGTTATTGATATTGATCGTACAAAGCAACATGAATTCAAATTCATTGTTGATGGCATGTGGCAAGCAAACTGGGATTTACCAACTCAAACAGATGAACGTAAGTATAAATATTTTAAGAATAAACCAAACTTTGCGAATCTTATACACTAAATTTTCTTAAATTATTAGACGGAAATGTTAACAACGTAATCTATGGCTTTCCAGATAGTCCATTGAATACCTTTAAAGAATATTCTGGTAAAGATTTTGTAATATTGTAAAAGCTCTTTTTGAGATGAATATTTGAATAACATTAATCTTTTTTATTTGTAGCTCCTTTCTCCCAATTTGCTGCCGCAGCTTATTAAATAGATCGTTTATTGATCAAATTCAGATAATATTTGCAGGGCAAATTTTATAACTAAAAATTCGTTCTGCATAATTTTAATAATTTTTTTTTTTTAAAAAAAAAAAAGTAATTCACGTTAACTGTATTCCGAAATTTCAAAGTATTTTTAATTCAAAGTATTTTTATTCTTTTATAAAATATTTATTTATTGAATCTTTTTGTATAGTTGTATGTCTTTTTTTTTTTTTTTTTAGTAGATTCAATACATTCTTTAAATTTTTCGGTTTCAAATAAAAATTTTTTTTTAAAAAAAAAATTCTGATGTTATAATATTATGGAGTAAAATGATCATTATAACTATAATAAGAATATTTAAATGAGAAAATCCTTGATAAAAAATCTCACATTTTTTTAATTTTAAAATATGGAAATTCTTTGAAATCAATGATTGTATGATCACATGCGAAGATAATTATCTTAAAAGATCATGATTTCCGTGGTCAGGCTAAACACTGCAGGATCCGCTTTTGTGGGTATATATCTGTGTAACCGCACCGATAAATTGTGGGGTAAAAAAATAAGACGTTTTTTAATAAATGATTAAAGTAGAAATTTTTTAAAATCATTACATTACACAAATCAGACAATATTAATATATAATTCCCTAAACAAACTTGCTTTTCGCTCTTTCATAATCAATTGTTATTATATATTTGTCTACTTAAGGAAAAATGGCTTTAATATTTATTTTATATATTCATTTATATAAATAAATTATTTGATTGGAATTTTGGATTGGATGACAGGCAGTCATGCAATGTCGGCGGGACGCCCTAGACCACATAAATATATTTAGGTTATTTTTGAAGAAAAAATTTCCCGAATATCATTAAAGATTCCTATAGTATAAAATAAAATTTGCATTAAAAAAAAAAATGAAAATTATAAAAATAATAATAGCGAAAAAGTAAATTATCTTCAAGTTTTACTTTTACTGTAAATACTTTATTTTTAAATGATCATCTTTTATCAATTTCAAATTTGGTTGTGAAATCAGATAAACATCTTGCAAAATTATATAATATGATGAAATATAGATACATTAAAAGGTAGTATAATAATAATGTTAAAATTTGAAAAAACCATAAGGCAACTTTCTTATGATACTTATTAATAAGATTTTTGATATGAAATTATACATAATATAAAAAAAAGTATTAGTAGTTATATAATATAAATAATTAAGAATATATTTATAAGAAAAACAAAAAGATATATAAAATAATATAAATAAAATATATGATTAATATTTAATCATTAAATCAATTCTATTCTTAAATAAAAAATATCAAGATCAATAATATAAATATCTAGATCAATAACAACTATATTAAGATTTTAGTATCATAACTTTAATATTTTACTTATTATAAATAAGAAAAAAAAATAATAATATTTATATAAAAAAAAAAAACTTATAAAAAATAATTGCTAATATATTATATGGTTGTTATATATGAAAATTAGGTTTGATAATATGATTTATATAGTTCTGCAACATGATTTTCATATATACTAACCCATATATCGAATAAATATTTAATATCTAATTTTTTATTTAAATATAAATTTTAAATCCATTTGAATTTATTCTTATAACAAATAATTACATTTTTAGTTTAAATTATATATTATTACTTAAAAATAAAACATTTATTTTTTAGGTAAAAGGTTAAGTTTATTATAACATAAACTTTAAAATAATTATCTTAATCAGTATTATCTCCTATTATTAAAAATAATATATTTATCATAATCTTTCAAAGCTGAATTTTATGATGATTTATTTTAGTATTAGGACTTAATAAATTACATGCAAGTAGATTACATAAAAGACATAGAAAAATAATAAAGAATATATTTTATTAAAGAATTATAACATTATATTTAATTATGCAATCATTAATGCTATTATTCATTATATTTTTTTTTTCAATTTCTTACATTCAAGATCTCTTTTCTAATTGTTTTATTTTATATTGAATTAATCTAAAACTAAAGATATATTAAATAAGTATTACATAAGAATTACCTTTAATTACCTAATTGATATACAATCATTACTATATAATTTTTTTATATATTTATTATATCATGAATATGTAATAATTACTAATTCTCTAAATATAATACAATGTCTTTTATAATTATTACATTTATTCTTAATTTTTAGACATAATATACTATATCATATAATATCAATTTCAGTGATTAATATTACAATATATTGGAGCTTTGCAATAGAAAGAAAACTCTAAAAAAAATTAAAATTTTACTTTTATAAACTAAATATGATTTTTTTTTTAGTAAAATAAATTCAGATTTAACATTAAGTCAAAAAAATTTTTTTAGAGTTTTTTTTCTTTCTATTATTCATTAGATTGTAAGATTCTGCAAGCAAATTTATTTGCTTATTTACTATAAATTCTCTTCTAATTTTTTTTTAAGTTAATTATATAAATATATAATATATTATAATAAGTTTATTATATGGGAGGTTTGCTAGGAAAATGGGGCTCTGAGCATTTTTTTTTAAAATTTTAATTTTTATTGCATTTTAATCTA